TGTGTGTGAATGGAGTAATTGTTGGGATGCCACGGAGAAACCGGGGAAGCCCCCGGAGGAAAACTCCGTGATGCCTAGACCATGGCCTTGCCCAACACGAGTTATAAATCTGAGCACCACCGGGAATTGAACCCGGGACCCCAGGATTACAAGGCCAGCGTTCTGGACTCCCTTGTGAAGGATAGTGTTTGAAGAGCGGGTGAATTGCAGGGTTATAAATAATTTTTCTCCATTCCATTTTAAACTTTCGAAAGGAGGTCTCAGATGCAGGCTGTCCTTTGTTTATCTGACTTTCCTCGTTCCCTCCGATTACGATAATAGCGCCCTAATTTTGTGCCCGGTGGGAACTTTGAACCTTGAGGTCTCAGCTTCCACATGACACAGCAACAATTTTTCATAAGTGTTAGGTTCAAGCTCACTGCCCTGAACCTAACGACTGTTCAGACTGAAGGACGCAGCGACCAAAATTAATATTAACAAAGGAGACAGACTCTGATCAACTGTTGTGAAGAATGCTCTCTCCCTTAACACACAGAAGGTTTGTTTCACAGACTAATTTCATATTATAGGATTTGATGCACTGTCCTGCTATAAAAATAAAAGGAGTTTGAGAACGTGCCAGGTCCCCTGACATTCAGTTTTGCTTCTTAACTCTTTAACGGAGGAAAAAGATCACAATGTGAAGATCTCGCAAACGATATCTCAATACAAAAAATCTTTGAACACAAATTGCTAGAACTGAAGAAAGAGTTAACTTAATAAAAACATCATTTAAGTGCTAAAAATACTTCATAGCACTGGAGAGATATTTCTGCTAACGGCAGCCATTACAATGTGTGGTCAAACACATAAGAACTCCCTTTTCTCCTTAATAATACAGCGACAAATTGAGCCACTGATATCTGGGATTAAGTGTACTCCAATATTTGCACTTTAAATCGACGGTTCTACAATATTAGGTTTATCTCAAACCCTTATAGACTGATTTGGAAAAAAAAGTTCATGAAAATTTTGTTGTGACGAAGATTGCAAAACGTTACGTGTTCAAGGCTGATATTATCAAGGCATATCACTTCAGAAGATAGTAATTAATCACATTGTGACAACAACTGTGCGGATGAAGTAGCAGTTTTGGGATGACAGAATCAAGATTTCTTACCTTAAGTAAGGCTATTTGTTTCTTACTTGAACTTTATATATTGCGTTATTACAGAGACGCTATATAGTATCATGTAGCCCTGAGCAACATCTTCTTGACACATTTCCCTCTGAACGTTCGTCTTTTTGTAGTATTGTGCCAGAAAATGCGTCAGATCGCAAATCACCTTTTTTTACATTCGAAGATAAGGAGGTTACTGAGAGGTTCTTAACTAGATTCTAAAACTAGTTGACTTCAAAAGAGAAGTACGCGTGTTTCTACAGGTATCTGATTATCAGATTTATCACCACTGTTTGGAAAAGAAGTGGCTTGCTCTTCTATCCTATTTATCGTATTTGTTTGTGAGTTTAACGGACGAAACACCTCTCTTCATGGTTCGGATGCAGATATTTTTCACCGTTGTGACAAACCTCGAAATTTACAAAAACATTATACTTTCGGAAAACCCTTGTGATAGCACGGAACTATTTGTGAATTTGGATAAAAAATTTTGAAAGAAAATTATTATGAATTTAAAAAAAATTAAAACCTCGAGTTCAGACCCACCTCACTAAATCTGAGAGAAAGTTTAGTCTTTCTCAACTCGAATGGATACGAAATCCATTTGCAGTTAAAGACGGTGAGAAGATATGTCAACTTTTATGGAATCACGAAAATCCCGAATAGAACTTGCTTGCGATACTTTCGTTAAAAATTCAGTTTGAAGCGTTTTGCTGATTTTTTTGGATTCATATCCTAAACGAATATGTGGATCTCTCAAAACTGGCCATTGAGAAACTTTTTCAGCAATTAAAAGACCGTGACCGCCTTTTAACTTGAAAATATGTTACGAGATTCTGCATCAATAATCCACAATAGGATTAATCACTTAGTCTAAAATATGCAGGCCCATTCTCCTCGCTGAGTAAAGTACTGTTGAATTTATTCTATTTTAATGTTATTCAGTACGTGCTGCGCGAATTATTATATTATTAAATATTTTGCATTGGTGGCGCCAGAGAAGATTATGGTATCTGTTCTAAACCAAGTTGTTCCTCTTGCAGTAGTGTATTTCTAATTCTTTTCAAGAGTCTGTAATGCCCGACCTTAATTGGCCTGACCTCTGTTTACATTTTTGTGAGAATTAATAGCGTCGTATATCTTAAGTAATTAGTTTCAACGAGCATAAACGAAAAATAAACCTATTTTAAAAAGCTGTAATTATGAACTTGGTTGTTTACTAGTCAACTGTTTATTTTCAGGAGTTTATGAATATCAATTTCCAAAACGAAAATGGTTGAAACCGTTGATCATAAACTATTTCTTAGGACTCTGATTGTCAACAACATATAAATAACTTTGTTGTTTAACGTTTAATCTATTATGTGGATGGTGCACTGCTCACTAAATAGTCCGTTAATAATGCGAATGTTTTAAGACTTGGGGTTTTCACAGCGGTGAGTATGAAGATTTCCGTCTTCTGGGTTGTTGCGCTGTGTAGTCTGGTCGATGTTTACCAACGTTTC